TTCTCCCATTCTGTGGGTTTTCTGTTCACTTCCCTGGTTGCCTCCTTTGATGTACAGAAGTTTTTTAGTTTGATGAGGTCCCATTTGTTGATTCTTTCCCTTGTTTCCTGAGCAATTGATGTCCGGCTTATAAAATCCTTTCCTATGCCTATATCTTGTAGGTTTTTCCCAATGTTTTCTTCTAATAGTTTCAGAGTTTCAAGCTTTACGTTGTGGTCTTCGAGCCATTTCAAATTGATTTTTGTACAGGGTGAAAGATAGGGGTTTAATTTCATTCTCTACACATGGAGATCCATTTTTACCAGCACCATTTGCTGAACATGCTGTCTTTCCTCCAGTGGATATTCCTGGTCCCTTTGTCAAATATCAGGTGGCTGAAATTGCATTTACTCATATTTGGGTCTTCAATTTTGTTCCATTGGTCTATGGGTCTATTTTTGTGCCAGTACCATGTTGCTTTTATGAGTACATATCTATTCTTTTAAAGCAGTATAACGTGATTGTACATCATGTAAGGTGAGGAACTTAGGTTTTTAATTTTATCACAATTTTTATTATTTAAAAAATATATATTGGGGGTGGCATTCAAAAAGCTAAAGTTAAGGGGCTGGAGAGATAGCTCAGCAGTTAAGAACCTTGTTCTTACAGAAGACCCGGGTTTGAATCCCAGCATCCACATGGCAGCTAACAATTGTCCATAACTCCATTTCCAGGGGATACGATGGCCTGTTCTTTTCTCTGCGGGCATTGCATGACATGGCTGTACTTACCTACATGCAGCCAATACATTCATACACATAAAATAAAAATAATAAAATAAAATAAGTAAAGTTAAATACATTGATTAATTAGAAATTTTTAAAAATATTTCAATAATTTTCAACATTTGTTTTCTTATAGTTTCTTTTGACTAAGCTTGTTTAGTTATTATGCTTAGTTGGTATAACTACTATCTTTATTGTTAAAGTTTTTAGTTATAGTTTTTCTTTGCATTTGACTTTAGTGACACTTTCTTTTCTCATAAAAGAACTGTGTAACATATACTTTTGAGGTTATTTTACATAGCTTTCAGAGTACCTGGAACTTGTAGTCTTGCTGACAGCCCCCCCACCAATTTATATAGATTTTGCTCAATTTTTGTTTTATGGGGAAATTCCTAGGACAGAATTTTCTTTTTTCATTTGTAGATTATCTAACTAAAAATTACAGTCCTACAAATCCCAAAGCTCACTGGCTTAAGAGAGTATAAGTTGGTCTTGCTTTATGTTCATTATAAAGCATACATAACCCATAATATCAGTAGTGGGCAGATCCAAAGACACAAACTTGTGTTTAAATAAATTCACTAAAGGAGTGCTGAAACTTTCTTGATACTTTCATAGAATGAATGTTATAAAACCTTGTACAACTACGTAGTATGTTCTTTAACGGATTTGAATAGATTTTTATTACTTCACTTACAGTGATTCATTTAATTGAAACAAAATCAGCCAAAGAAAATATAAATGTCAGTGAAATATAAGAGACATAGGGATAGGGCACAATGAAAAACTTTTTCAAATATTTTGAGGGAGCAAGTTTGTATCTGAAAATCTACCCTTGTGATAGAGTCTGAACTGATCTAAAGGCAGAGAAGTGCCATCATACCTCAGAATGTTCTTTATTGTTACTTCTCACCTGGGTCACTACTACTAATATGACAGTTGAAACTGGAGATTGTTCACTTTTGAAAAGACTTAAGAGGACCTATGATCTAAAAGTTCAGCTCCCTGTCCTTTAAAAACCATAAAAATATGCCAAAAATCGTTGGTACATACAGTATTCTAACTATTCTAATATTTGGAGAGATTATCCTTTATTTTTCATTTGAAAATGCTAGATATAGTCACTAAAAAACTATATGCTATTGTGATAGGGTGCTTCAATTTTTAAAAGAACATTATTCAAGTATATTGCATTGAAACCTTTAAGAAAATGTGAGGCTCATTATTGTTCAGGTTAAGATAATTATGACACTTTCTGAGTATATTTTAGTAATAATTATTATTAGTAATTTCTTCATTGCTGCCTTTATCCTGTTGGGATTTTGTCATTTGTTTGTGAGACTAGGGTTTCCCTTTGCTGATGCTGGCCTTGAGTTCACTTTGTTCTTGATCCTTGAATTTCTGATTCTCTTGCTTTTACCTCCTGAGTGCTAAGATTACAGGCTTACTCCGCAACATCCAGCTAATTTTCTTTAATATGATTTTTATATGTACATAGTCATGAAGAGAGACTGTCTCTTTTTCGGCTTAACTACTTGTTATTTTTTATTTCATTTCATGATATTATGCAAAATATTTAAAAGTATTCTATAGGATTTGTCATATTGGGGAGCAAACTTTTTATAACCATTTATCATTATTCATTTTTTAAAAATAAATTTTAACTGGTTTCAGTGCTACTTAGTAGAGCAAATGTTCTTGATATGTAAAATATACTGAGACATGAAGATCATAAGGAATAGTTTAATATGACATGTAGAGAAATTGTTCTTTTAAAACTTTAGCATTGGTTCTAAACTTTAGTTTCCATAGATTGTAGTATCGGTTGCAGCTCAGATGTAATAGGTTCTATCTATTTTGACCTTTTAGTTATAAGGTACTTTATTTGTTAATGTTCTGTTCTTAGCATTCATAATTTTCAAAGCAACTATTGCTTCCTTTCATCTTTTCCCTGTAAACATTTTTTTTAATATTTCTGTAGTTAATAAATCATGCTTTGAAAGAACTCATGGAAGTAGAAGAAGTGAGTGAAAATGTGTTACAAGTTCACCTCAATGGTAAGTGTATCATTATTTTGCCGTTAGAAATGGTGTAAACTATGTAGGTTTTCATATTATTAAAACAGTTCACTTGTATGTTTTAAATCTGTACAGATATTTTTAAAGATAATGACCTCTAGCATACCATATACATACACAGTAAATTTAAAAATTAAAGGAAGTATACAAGGACTTTTTTTAAAGTCTTTTCATCTTAAAGTATTGCCATCTCCAAGGAAACATGTTCTTTTCTTTAGTAGTACTGGCTGACTTGAAGCTTGCTATGTAGACCAGGCTGGCCTTGAACTAACAGAGAGATTCTCTGCCTCTGCCTTACAAGTGCTGGGACTAAGACGTCCACACCATGCTCAACCCCAAATGTTTTTCTGAAAAGGAAGTACTAGGAACTAACAGAATGTTTTATTTTCTTTCTAATTAAATTTTAAAAAGCACTGGAAAGTGTGCTTGCCTGGAGAATGATCTGTGTCAAATACTTGCTTCATTTTAATTTAGATAACTTTATGAATTATGCTGAATTTCAGGACTGTTGCAGACCAGTGACAAAATTGCTCTAAAGGAGATCACAAGACAGTTAAGTTTGGAAAATGTAGTTGGAGATAAAGTTTTTGTAAGTATCATTTCAGTTATTAAATAAGTTTCTAAGTAAACTCTGTATAGCATAGATATTTTAATATTTATGGAAAGTTAGGGTAGGGATTTATATATTCTAAACTGCTAGAAGTAAGATTTTTATCATTAAGATATATAATTATAAGAATACATTTAGTCGGGCTGGAGAGATGGCTCAGTGGTTAAGAACACTGGCTGTTCTTGCAGAAGACCTGGGTTCGAATCCTAGCACCCACATGGCAGCTAACAACTGTCCGTAACTCCAGTTCCAGGGGATCTGACAGCCTCTTCTGTCCTCCACAGGCATCGCATGACACAGATGCACTTACCTACGTGCAGGCAATACACAAATACACATAAAATAAAAATAATAAAATATTTTTTAAAAATGTAGTCATCAAGCTTTGACTTTTGGAATTGTTTTTTATGTATGAATTATAGTAGCTGACAACTCTGTGGGTCTTCTGAGGTTGTACCTTAATGAGATAAATACTCTTGATTCCTTAGAAATAAATCTTTGTTTATTAAGGAGAAATATATTCCTAATCTTCTGAGACTTGTGTAGTAACAGAAATATAGTAGAAGATATGCTGACTCTGAAGATGGTAAAGTGGTGTGCCTCTTCCTTACTAGGGTTTTGTTCCTTCATGGTCTTGGGCTATTGGGCTCCTGAGTATCTCTGAATTTTATATTTTCTTGCATTACATCAGCTTTATTTTCTTATATGTGCTTCAGGAGTATTCTAAACAAGGAAATATTAAATTTCATGTTGTTTACAAATACTTTGATAGATGGTAATGAATTGTATAAATACGTGTATCACATTTTTAGAAGTGTATCCAAAATTCATCAAGAACCTTAAAATCTCAAGACACTGATAATCAATAATTTAAACTGAAGTATTCTGAATTTTTCATTAAACTTTTTGCCTGTTACCTAACTTATGACCTAAGAAAAATTTTAATTCATGTCCTAATTTTCATGTGGAAGCTACCCATCCTCAGAATGCATATGCTTTGAAGTGAGATATTTGTGTTCCAAGTTCATTTTCTGGCTGGTTTTCTGCACCCTTGTCACCCTCGTAACTGTTGGCTCTGTGCTTCAGTGATTAGACTGTAGTTGGGTGTTAAGCCTTTTAACATTAGGATTTCATTCTTGAATAGTTATCTATGAAAAGTTGAGCCAACCATGTCCTCTTTGCCTACTCTGCATGTTGTGGAACTGTAAACTCAAAATGTCCCTTGTATAAATAAAATGTTTTTCCTTCTATTTAGAATCCAGATTCTAAGCAAATAGCCTACTATTTGATCTAAAGAAGTTCCTATTAGATTCACTTTGGCTTTTGATTTTGAAAGAACCTAGATAACTGTTTTTAACATTCCTAAATGAACATATTTGTACTGACTTATGTGAAGTAATAGAAGGTATAGTTAAGTTCCTTTATTACCGTATTCTAATTACCATTATTTTCAGCATGACTTATAATCAACAGTTTGTATCTGTAGATTTTGCATCTGTATATGCACCCTACTACAAACTGAAAATATTCAAGAAAAAGTTGTGTTTATACTGAACCTGTATAGACGTTAAGCTTTTGTTTTTATTCCTTAAACAATACAGTATAAAAGCTATTATATTTGGATAGCAGTATATTACATTAGGTATTGTGAATAATGTGGGGATGATGGAGAGTGTTGCATACTTAATTTGTAAATAATCTGTCTTTTTATATATAGGAATTGAGCATCCATACCTTTAGGTTTCCTTGGGTGGGGGGGGGGGTTGTCTAAGAACCAGTCCTCCAAAATAACAAGATTATTAGCTTAAATCCTCCATTTCATATATTAGGCATCTATGTTGGAGAGACCATAATTAGCTTGCCTAAGGTCATAAAATTGTAAAGGCTGGACATAAAAAACAAAAGTCACTTAGCCCAGAACTTTACTGTATTAATATACTTTCAGCAAATACATGTATAAATACATCATGCAGCTATACATGCATATCTAATTTCATTATATATGTATAATTAATGATGAAATATGTTTTTTTTAACAAAACTAGAAGACAAGGTATATTTGAGTAACTGGCCACTAATTTCCAAACAGATTATCTCTATGAGCCATTGTTGCAGTATGGTAACATCATGTGATGAAAACTACTGTTTTGGAAAAAATCCATTTATACTAGGCTGGCAAGATGACTGCGGGTAGAGGCACTTGACAACCTGAATTTATCCCCAGGACCCACTTAGAATCAGCTTCTGCAAATTGTCCTCTGATCTCTTCGCACACACTGTGCTACATCCTAAATAAATATGTAAAGCAATAAATGTAAAAAGCTTTATTAAATCATTTATGCTATTATAGCAGATCTTTCAGTTGGCGAACAAACCAAGTGAGTTTCTTTTCTCTTTTGTGTAGTTCCTCAAATTTAAAGTTGTCTATATCCTAATATACCTGAGTGAAATAAAAATTGATTATTTTAATGAAAAATATTTTGGTAAGCATGGTGGTGTATGCCTTTAATCACAGTAGTCAGAAGGCAGAGGCAGGAGGATCTCTGTGTCTAAGGCAGCCTGGCCTAAATAGTGAGTTCCAGTCCAAACAGGGCTACATAGAAAGACCCTGTCTCAAAAAAGAAAAATGTTTTAATGAAACTTCTATCCAAAGTCTGGAATATCTGGATAATTTACTTGTTACTCTTAATTTTTTTCTACAATATTTAGTTTGTATTCAAAAGTAGTTTTGATATATTCCAAATAAATATAGTCAGTTTGATGTAGTAAATATAAATTCTTAAGTGGCCTCTTGAATATTATAGTATTTAATATTTCAAGTAAATTCTTTATCTTTTGGATCTCATTTAAACTTACTAAGTTCTTTGTTGATACACATTAATTTGAGACTTGGAGGAGCATGTTGTATTTAAAGATACAAAACGGAATACATTTCTCCTCCAGCTGTATTTAGAATTTAGCAACCCTCTTAAGAGCTATACTCAAATAAATTTAACATTTTTACTAGTATTTTCAGAAGATAGAAAATTCACACATGATGTAGTATTGTCATCCTCAGTGCTATACTTTTGCAACTTTTAGGTTTTGAATAGTTAATGCAGAAATAATGAGCTGAGAATATGATCAATAATGAATTCACTAGTAAAAACAATGCATATTTTTTATATAAAATCTGAAGATTCAACCCTCTTCATTTCACTAAACTTCAGTCATTTTTTATTATTCAGGGAACCTTTGCTGAAAACCTTTCGTTTCTTCTGGAAGCCTTAAAAAAAGGTATATTTCAAGTATATATATAAAAAAAATTGATCTTTAGTGGCTGGAGAGATGGCTTAGCATTTAAGAACACTGTTCTTGTGGAAGACCCAGGTTCGAATCCCAGCACCCACATGGCAGCTAACCACTGTCTGTAACTCCAGTTCCAGGGGTTATGACAGCCTCTTTTGTCCTCTACAGGCATTGCACGACATGGGTGCATTTACCTACATCCAGGCAATACCCAAATACACATAAAATAAAAATAATAAATTTTTTTTTAAAAATTGATCTTTAGAAGTATCAAAAGATACTTATGCTGAACTTGACTTTTTCCTGATTATTAAGGAAACACAGGTTTTTACAAAAAAGAATAAACTGATTATTATTGTAATACTGCCGCTGTAATAGTGATTATATCAACGTTAGGTTTCTTTTAATCATCTGCCACGTATCAGTGATATAGATATATTAATACAACTTTCTTAGAAGAATAAAATCACTACCTGTGAGATGGCTCAGTGAGTAAAAGTGTTTGCCACACAAGCCTGTTGACCTAAATCCAGTCTCTGGAATATATAATAGAAGGAGAGAACTAACTTATGAAAATTGTCTACTGACCTCCATGCACTCTCCATAGCGCATGTGTACCATGGCACACATGTACCTGCACTCATACATCATTCACAGCACAATAATAAGTTTAAATATAAAAGAATAAAGTAACCTTTATTCACTGTACTTGGGAGATAGAGGTAGGAGGATCACGAGTTCATGACAGTAAGCAAATAATAAGACCATGTCTCAAACAAAGGAATAAAATAATTTTACCTATTATTTGGTAGCCATTTAGTTCTCTTAACTTCTGTTATATAAAGATGCTATAATGGTTACAGATGTTTATCCACATATTTGCTCAGGTAAGTTTAATCGATAGAATTCTGGGTTAAAGAGTACCATGTTGAAATGAGTATTGCTTCACTACCTTTTAAGCATGTTTGAGAGTACTGTTTTTCTTCTGAGACTTCAAAGACAGTTACTGATTTTCATCTTTGAATGTCTAATAGAAAAAAAGCCAAGTTTTTTTCCTTTGAATAATTTTTGTTGTTTAATTTGCGTGGATTTGTTAGTGGTGGTGCTAACCGTTTCATGATTTTATTGACCACTAGTATTTCCTACTTTATTGCCTGTTCTTTATTTTGACAGTGCTTGTCTCATACTTATTTATGGGGCTTCTTATGCTTTTATTTTTTCCTTCTTGCCTTAAATTTTTTAATACTTCTCAGCTAAATAGAAGTTTTTAGTTTTTACATAATTGCCTCTGTCTAGTGTTTTTTTTCAATCTTTCAAATAATGAAAACATTCACCAGTGTTCCCAGTTAACACACATATTTCTAATGTAATTTTGCTCATGATTGAACTGTTAAATCTTGGTTTTAAGGGAATATTAGTGATTTTGATTGTACAGTGAATGTTTGGAAAAATTGTTTAAATGAAAAAATACATTGGACATTTCTACTAATTAGACACATCTTTTTTGAAGCAGTAGTTTTTGTTCTTAGTGACTTTCTTTATATTCTAGGCTAAAAGTTTCCAAATTCTATATAGGTATTGAAAGCCTTTTGAAAGGTACTGAAAAGTCAGTTTTTTAATTATTAAAGAATAATTACACTGAAGTAATTATGCAAATGACTTTTCTTTCTTTTCATCAATACACTGCTAGAGTCCTGTAACTATACTATCAGCTGCTTGGCGGCAGTAGAGGCTGTATTTTTGCAATGAATAATTTTTCTACGTATGAATGAGCCTGCACTGGTAAATGTCTTTCCCAAACTAAGTTATCAGTATGTATTTGTTGATTTGAATTTTAAAAACTGAATTGTAGCAGTTTAGAAATTTAAGAGTTGATCTAATTACTTTTTAATATAAAGTTCTCAATTTATCGTAGGTGATCGCACTAGCAGTTGCCCAGTGATCTTCATATTAGATGAATTTGATCTTTTTGCTCACCAGAAAAACCAAACACTCCTCTATAATCTTTTTGACATTTCTCAATCTGCACAGACTCCAGTAGCAGTTATTGGCCTTACGTGTAGATTGGTAAGTCTTTCCATTCTAAAATGGTCATTATAGCAAGGTGAGGTGGAACATACCTTTGATTCCAGCACATGGGGGGTCTGGGGCATAGGCAGGCAGATATCTGTAAGTTTGAGGCCAGCCTGGTCTATATAGTGAGTTTTAGGGCAGCCAGAACTAAATACAGTTAGATCTTATGTAAAAAGTTACTGTCATGGTCCATTTTCACTTGTGTGGGTTATTATTAGATACTTTGAAATTGTTTTACCAGTTCATGGTACATTCATCCTGCTTTTCACAAATTGAGGAAAACAATGAAAGAATTGTTCTACATACCTTTAAGTAAAATTACCAAATAAAAAAACAAATACTAAGAAGATTCCTGCCTTAGCAAGTAAAATCACTTACATAATACCATTGATGCTTTATAACAATTGATAATATTTTCTGTTGCTATGCACATTGCATAATTTGGAATTTAGAACGATTTCAGCTGTATTCTGAGTGTCAGCCATCAGCTTACTTTGTGTATGCCCTTTACACACTGAATCTTGTATGCCTTCAGGCAGCTACATGGGTCTTTCTGTGTTTAAAGATTTTATTTTTCAGTTCTGAGAATTGAACCTAGGAACTTGGATGTTGGGTAACCACTCTTATCACTGAGTTACATTCACAGTCTTTTTACTTATTACTTACTGTTTTGATAGAGGAGCTCACTGAGTTGCTCAGACTATCCTTGAACTCACTGTGAGTCTCAAGCAGTCCTTGCACTGTTTATCTCCTGCTTTAGCCTCCTCAGTAGCATATGCTACACACACACACACACACACTTTGGGTTAAAGTGGAAGTTGCACATATGTTTGACACAGTAAGATTAGGGTTGGGAGATGGCTCAGTAGGGAAAGTACCTTCTTTGTAATCATGGGACCTTGAATTTGATCTCCAGCACCCAAGTAAAAAGCCGGGAGTGGTGGCACTGAGGAGATGTGTACAAGAGGATCCAAGGAACTTGTTAGCCAGATAGTCTGGCTGAATCTGCAAGCTCCAGGTTCTGGAAGAAGCTTTTTTTTTTTTTTTTCTTTCTTTCTTTCTTTCTTTCTTTCTTTCTTTCTTTCTTTCTTTCTTTCACACCTTTGTTTATGTTGTATGTGTGTGGGGGCTTCAAGTGCGTGTCATGCCTGTGGAGGTCAGAGGGCATCTTGCAGGAGTCATTTATCTCCTTCCACCATGTGGGTTCTGGGAATCAAAAGCAGGACCTCGGGCTGTAGAACTCTGAGACCCTCTTCATTCATCCGCTACCCCCCAATCCCTCCAGACCCTCACTAATTGCTCTTTTAGCTTCTGTAAAATGCTTGGTTGCTGCTTTAGGCATGCCTAGACATGCCCTGGCATGCCCTGACCCCTGCCTGCTATCCCTCTCCCCACTTCCAGGAAACTATAGATTAAGCAAGCCCAGGCATGAAAACTTCCCTATAAGGTAAAAACAGAGACTCCTGGCCCCACAGATAACAGTCAGCACATTCCACAGCCCTGAGAATAGCACCTACCAATAAGAAACTTCCAGGGCTGCATCTTATACATCCAATCAGTTTAAAATTATGTTGGCACCCGCGCGGGCTCCTTGAACCAACCAAAATTCAGCACGGATCCATTGAGTTGGTGAGGTCTGAGAGCCCGAGTTTAAGCCCGAATAAACCATAAACCTTTGCTTTTGCATTTTGGTGTGTTGGGTCCTCGGTGGTCTTTTGGGGGTCCAGTGGATGAGGTACAACAGGGCTTGGCCTCTACCCACTGAACCAGATTACCTGAGAAACCTTGTCTTAAAAAATAAGTAGCAAGCAATTGAGGAAGCCACTCAATGTTAACCTCTGGCCTCCACATGCACATATAGACATGTACACGTGCACCAGCATATGTACACACAAAGGTCCATACCCCCTTCATGCTTCAAGGGCATTTTCATTCTTTATGAATAATTTTCCCAACTCTGTATTTCTTTTAAGTAGAATTATACTTACGTGTGTGTTTAGTTGCTTTTTATTTGTGGGGCATGGTGTACATGTGTGGAGACCAAATGACAACTTTTAGAAATTGGTTCTCTTCGTCTGGTATGTGGGTCTCAGGGATTTTACTCAGGTCTTCAGTCTTGACAGCTAGCTCCTTTATCCAGTGAACCATCCTGCCAGCTCCCAAGAGCAGTTACTTTTTTTGTTTAGTTGTTTGTTTGCTTGATATGGGGTCTCACTATGTAGCACTAGCCCTGACTGATCTGAAACTTTATATAGACCTGACTGGCCATGAATTCACAGACTCCAGCTAGTTCTGCCTAGGGAATGTTGGGGTTAAAGGCATGCACATGGCTTTAATTATCTTTCTCCTACATCTCTAAATGAATGACTACAACTTCTCCTTAGTAGAAAAAAAAAATGAGTAAATGTATATTTCTATCTCTGAATATAATCCCTTTTAATTCAGTTATTGGAACTATACTATGCTGTTGACTATTAAAAAAAAAGTTCCAGATTTTTTTGTTCCCTCTCCTGTCCTACACACTATTAGTCTTTGTTTTCTTTCTTCCTAAATGACCCATAATTATTTACAATTTTTCCTCTGTATTATGGCCTATTAACCTTTTGACTTTTTTGCTATTTTAAGGACCATTTTGCTAAATGTAATTTTTTACCTGTGGAACCACTACCCTCTTTAAAAACAATTTGTGGGAAAATCTCAATACATGTTGGAGAAAATAATATGAGACTTGAATCTCCTGCATTTTTGTGGTTCAACAATAGTTTCACTTACACTTCTTTGTCTCCCTCCTGTTATTTTGAGGCAAAAAGCAGACACCAATGTCTTATCACTAGTCACTTTTTCAGTTTATTTTCGGGAGATAAGAACTCTTCCAGGTATATTTTTCCTAATACAGCTACACTTTAAAAATAAATAGTAATTGGGGCTGGAGACATGGCTCAGCAGTTAAGAGCACTGGCTGTTCTTGTAGAGGAATCTGTTTGGTTCCCAGCACCCCCATTGCTAATAACAGACTCTCTAACTCCAGTTCCATGGGATCAGACGCCCTCTTCTGGCCTCCATGAACCCTGCTTGCAGGCAAAGCACTGATACACATAAAATAAAAACAAATCAGGAACTAGAGAGATGGCTCAGCAGTTAAAAACAGTGGATGTTCTTGCAGAGGACCTGGGTTTGATTCCCAGCACACTCACAGCAACTAACAACCATCCATAAGTCCACCTCCAGGGGATCTGGCACCCTCTTCTCACCTCCTCAGACATTGCTTAACACAGGTGCACTTAACACATGCAGGCAGTACACTTATACACATTAAATAAATAAACAAATAAATCCAAAAACAATAAATAAAAATAAGTAGTGATTAATGTTATCTAACATATCCATGTTCATATTTCAGGCAGACTTTGTTAGCATCATTGAAACTGCAATTCATTGTGGCTTTATCTAAATTGTACTGCATAACAGTTCTTCATTTCTTTTTATTGATGACTAATCTATTTGTAGGTTTATCACTTGATGGATACTTGGGTTATTTACATTTTTGCTGTTAAAAATAATACTTTATGAACGTTATTATGCACATTCTGGGGTGTTTTTTTTTAATTTGAAGTGTTTTTGTTTTATTGACGTATTACACATGAATACTAATGAATTACTAATGAATTTTAGTATAATTTTTGCTTATATCTCACAGAGAACACCTCATCAGATCCACTTTCCTCTCTGCCTTCCCAACTTCTAGCAACCTCTCAACTCTTTAACTTCATAGGAGAAAACTTTCTGTCTGCAGCATGATGTTTTCCATTCACTTTGCTGCAAATGATAGGACTTCACTCCTTATGACTAATAGTCTATTGAGAGCATGTTTATGTGCGTGTGTGTCACCTTTTCTTCACCTGTTTGTTGATTGGTCATCTCATCTAGTTTCATACCTTAGTTATTGTGAGTAGTACTCATTAAACTTGTTATAGTAGGTATCTCTTTTATATGATAGTTTTATTTTCTTTGACTATATAACCAGCAGTGTTATAACTGGATTATATGGTGGGTCTATTTTACTCTTCTTTTCAGGAACCTCCAGATGTGTTTCATTGATTTCCTTTTATTATATATCTAGGAATAGAAATTTCAAGTAAACTTTGCTGTGTTACACATCTTCCACTTCTTGAGACTCTTATACAAAATCATGAAGATGCTTAAATATAAATGATAATGATATGTTTCATTGCATTTTGTTATCTCGAATTTTTATGTGAAGTTTTCTTAATATGTACAGAATACCTTATCAATGTGCTTGATGTTACTATGACATAGAAGTGTTGATCCATAGTCACACTTTTTATAGTGGTCATTATAGGTCTTGAAATGTTACATGTTAGCTCACTATAATGGATACAGGCATTACATCATTCAAGCTTAATGATGCCTAAAAAGGACATACTTGGATTTTAAAAAATTGAAGTGCTTAACTATAGATTATAAATAAGCATTACTAATTGCAAACTGCAGTATGCCTATATAGCCTTAACATAATGTTTTTTCATACATGCATCTTATAGGGATTTCTATTTATTTTTAAGGATATTTTGGAACTCTTAGAAAAAAGAGTGAAGTCCAGATTTTCTCACCGGCAGATACATTTAATGAATTCATTTGGTTTTCAACAATATATGAAAATATTTAAAGAACAATTATCTCTACCTGCAGAATTTCCAGATAAGGCTTTTGCTGAGAAGTGGAATGACAATGCTCAGGTAACTTTTAAGGCAATAATATCAGACTATTTTATATCCACAGATCTTCTAGTGTACTAGAGGAATGCAAATAATAAAACTCTTTTTTGCTTTTTCCTGTTCTTTTTTCTTTTTCCTTTCCTTTCCTTTTTCTTTTCTTTTTTTTTTTTTTTTTTTTTTTTTTTTCTTTTTCTTTTCTGTTCTGTTCTGACAGGGTCTCCCTGTAGCCCGTGCTGGCCTGGAACTAGTTATGCAGACTATGTTGACCTGCCTTCTAAATACTGGGATTAAAGGCATAACGCTTGTCATGTCTTACTTTTTCTTGTTTAAAGGCAATTGAAATATCTTGTCTCCTAATTTATCTTAGAACTTAAACTTTATTTTTTCAGTAGTTAGTAAATTTGCATAGTTAAAATATTTTCTATGTTTTGTAAGTTGTCAACTGTGTTGGCAGTTCATGTTTATCCTGTGCATTTGTTTTGTTTCTGTTTCTCATAAACAATTTCAGCTTTTTGTCTCATTGGCTTAAATGATTATCCAGGCTTTGGCACCTCTTTTTTAAACCAGGATATCAGTCTGCTACTACCCTGCATCCCTACCCTGTTTATGTGATTTATAACATTGCAGACCTGTCTTGCATTTTAAATTTTGTTTCACATAAAGAGTTTAAGGCTTATATATGCTTTTTTTTCCATTTGAAACTTTGTTTTGATTTTTAATTCCTCACTTACATTAATTACATTTGCTTGGACAAACGACCCTGACCAAAGCAATTTAAAGTAGGGTGGGTTTATTAGGCTAAGTTTGAGGGTATGGTCTACCATGGTGGAGAAGTCTTGGAGGCAGGAGATTAAGGCAACTGGTCACATGGCATCTCCAGTCAGGAAGCAGGGAGTGATGAATGCTCCTATTTGGCTCACTTTCTTTTTTACTCAACCCAGGGCCCAGGCCATAAAATGATGCCACCCACAGTTAAGCTGGATCTTCCTATCTCGATTAATCTAAATTATCCCTTATAGACAAGCTCAGAGGCTAATCTAAATAATAATCTGTTATTGGTATACCCAGAGGCTTGTCTCCTGGGTGATTCTAGATTCTAACCAGTTGACAGTATTAACCATCACAGCTGATCTTTTGTTTGTTTGGTTGGTTAGGTTTTTTTTGGCTCTGTGTGTGTGTGTGTGTGTGTGTGTGTGTGTGTGTGTGTGTGTGTGTGGTGTTGTCATTGTCTTCTTAGTTCAGGTATACACACACACTCAGATTTTGCAAGTGATATGATAGACTTTATATTAAGATATAGTATCCTAATTTTAAGAATAGTAAGGTTTGGGTTCTCCCTTCCACCAGACTAAACTTGCCTGTTAATCAGATTTTTCAGATAATTAGGCACATTTTCTTTGCTACTATTTTGATTATAAGATCTTTCTACGGGAGCACATTCTCTATAATTAATAATCCATGTTGTACCTTGGTCTGAAATTTTACTTCAGTATCTCTGCCCCCTAGCTCCACTTCTTAGTACCTTACAGACATACCTCTTTCACAACTCCTAATCTGATAGTATTAGTCCCATAGTGTGTTTTTTATGAGGGTTTTTTTGAAAGATTTAAATGAAATCTTTGGTAATATTTAAATGTCTGTGCTTCCTCAGTGACTTTATTATTTCCTTCCTTTACTCTCTTTTCCTATGGTGACTTCACAGCCTAGGCTGCACTGTAGATCCATCTTTCCTAGCTATGTTACATTCTGAATGTGTGTATAGTCAGACCTCCAAATCCATGGGTTCGTTCTGAATCCTGAGATGCAACCACAAATGAAATTTTTTAATAAAGTAATTGCATCTGTATTGAACACATACAGCCATTTGTTATTTCCTTAATAATGCAATATGACATCTATATAATGTAACATGGTATTTATATTGTGTTATGTAGTATACTATAAGTAATCTTGTACTTTGTTTATGCACAAAATACTGTGCTTTTTAATATAAGAATTGAGTTTCTCGTATTTTGATTGTCTGTGGGGTCCTTGACCCAGTCTCCTACAGGTACCAAGAGAGGACTAGGTGTAAATAGAAGCTGATGGAGGTTACTAAGGAAGAACTGGTATAGATGACTTTAAAAGTAGATATCATATGATGATAGAGAGACTCGCCTCTGGTTTGTTACCAGGTAAAGATTTCTCTCTCTGGTCTTCTCAGAGGACAGAATTCAGCCAAGACACACATACATAGTATACATAGAACTTTTCTTTAGCAAAGTAAAGCAAAGGACAGTCTAGTCCAGAGGATACAGGCCCTTCATTAGTATGCATGTGGGACAGTTTCTGAAAGTTACTTGGCATCTTGATTTCTACTATAGTGTGAAGACCTATGCCTCCTTCAGGAGGCATACTTATTAAGACAACAGCTATAATCCTTGGTTCCCTCTTGACTAAATCCCTGCCTAACCAAGATATAAAACTACCCAGGTACAACTGCAGTTTCCCTTTTGTTACCTCAGCTGTTACTCCCTGATTACCAGATCTTAGCTTTCTAGTCTTTTTGTCCAGAACCTATATTTCCCCAACTTAAGGGGCACATGACAGGTACAAGTGTCTTATCTTTGGCAGTCTTAAAGTTTTTACAGTACAGCTAGCACTACTAGGGTTTGTGTCTCTTAATTTCTTACTACAATCATCTTGTGCTGTCTCCCTTGGGTGTGTCAATAAATAACTTCCATGGGAAAATCTGTCAGCACCATGGCCAGAATCCCTGTTCCTTATGGGGTGGGGTGAAGGTTGTGGTTTAGGGAGCTATCCTTTCTCTCAATGCTGACATTCCAGCAACTTTTTAAATTCCAGAATTAAAGTGAAAGTACTGTAGAGAGATAACAAGGTCATTTATGGAATCTCATACATGAGATATCCTCAGTACAGGCTTGAATCTGGGCATCTTGCTTAGTTTGAAGGTTTGAGTTCAGTCAAAAAGCCAGTAAACAAGCAGTGTGAGCTTAACTCAGCATGGTAATTTAAGAGAAATTTCTGAAAATATTCAAACTTCCTATTTAGCCCTATGTTACAGTGTGACAGTAAGCAGAGTAGATTCAATATCTCAACGTGGGAAATACAAGAAATCCCTGGAATAAAAGGAAATGTAACTCTTTTCTTCAATGGAAATTCTATAAAAGGATAAGTTTAAGTGGTTATTGATAGTGACCTTGTCTTCAAATCTCCTATGTTTGGATCAAGATGCAATTATTTAAAGAAAAATACCGTGAGACAAGTTTTTTTTTTTTTTTTTTTTTTTTTTTTAATGGCTCACATGTACATGATGTAGAAGCTTCTAAAAGCAAAATAAGTAACATGGAAGCATGGAAATAATACCCTTCCAATTCGAGGAGCATCAAATCAGATCTCTAAAATATAGAGGTAAATTAGGATAGTAATTACAGATTTAAATTTTAATAATCTGTTATTGGCACACCCAGAGGCTGGGTATTAAAGACATGATTTAATTTTGTGCCACATAATTTTCTTTAGTTTTCCTAAATGTTCTGATTTTACTACATCTACTTTATGAGTGACTTATTAAAAGTATACAGTAGCTAAGAGTGCAACTATTTATTTAATTAGCAACCTATTTCTTAATTTTATTTCATGCTGAAGGGCATGTTCAGTTAAGATACTTTGCTTTATTATATTAATATTCATCTTCTGTACTTCCAAAATTTATATGACCTTGCTCATTATTTATAATATGAGCAATATATTATTTATAATATAAAGGTGCACCCGTAAAGACAAACCTTCTAAAATACAAAGGTAAAAACAATAGAGAAATAATGAGTTAACTACAAAATATATTTACTGAGTATATGAAATTTCATTCCAGTTGGTTATAGTTTGTTCCTGAAATTTGGATCTTTTTGAGGTGAAAGTAAAAAAAGAAAAGTATGCCATTATAGCTCTAGAAAATATATAAATACTTAGTTTGGGGGAGGTTTGAGAGTTTTATTTCTCTTCATTTTTGTTAGAGTTTTTAGGAAATATTTTTTTATCAATTCTTTGATAATTTAATACAACGTGGCTTGATTTATTCATTTCCTGACTCTTTCCAGATCTGACACCACCTCCCTACTTCCTCCAACTTGGTGCCCTCTTTATTTGTTTTTAATGGTCCACCAACACCAAATTGTTACATGCTTCTAGGTGTAGGGTCTTCATTGGAGAGTGCATGACCTGCCCAGGATCCACACTCTTAAAGAAAACTGACCTTCTGTAATGACCCCAAAGCCATTAACTATCCATATCTCCTCTATTAGGAGTGGGGTTCTGAACCCATTCTCACTCCCTTGTAGAATGCTGACTGATTTGATCTTGTGCAGGCAACCATATCTGCTGCAAGTTGATGAGTGCAGTGGTCCTGTCATATCCAGAAGACACTGTTTCATTCTGTTTTTCCCAACTTCTGTCTCTTACAATCTTTCCACTCCTTTAGAATCTTTCTTTGAGCATTGGCTAGGCTGTAGATGTTCCATTTGTTCCTGAGCGCTCCACTGACATTTAGAGATCCTTGCACTTTGACCAGTTGTCAATTTCTTCATTAAGTAACATCTACTGTACACAGAAACTTCTATAATAGGGTCTGAGAGCTGCACTAATCTATAGGTAGAGAGATATAAATTTAGAGGACAATTCGATACTATATCCATTTTGAAAAATAATAGTACTGGGCTTACCCCTGGAGCCTGTCAGTTCCCCAACCATGGGCTTTTGGCTAGATTTCCAGTGCCAGGCATGTGTCCTCCTGCAAAACTGATCTAAATCCAATCAGAGAGTGGTTGGTTACCCCCATACTGTTTGTACCACTGTTATACCCATGGGCATACTTGCCATACTGGTCATTATTTTGTTGGCTTTTTTTGTTTGAGTCTTGTTTTGTTTTCATTTGGTAGGGAAAATGACTGCCCTTAGAATATAGAATGACTCCTTATTCCATGCAGATAACTTTTGAAAAACAATGCCAGACTATATCTTTCTTGACAGTGTCACCTCTGAATTTACTCTTTTCATCTAATCTCTTAATCCAGTGCTAAGTGTTTCTTACCTTCTGTTGAATCCCAATTCACTAGAATCATTTGGCTTTTTTAGAGCTTGCTTGAGCAAAGAACCCTATTGGTCTCCAAATAACTATCCATTATCTACTTCTCAAAATACCCTAATTTAGTTTTACAAAATGTTTTACATTTATATTACCTCCCTCCTGAAGTTTCTTCCCTTGTGTGATGCCTAATCTTCTTTGTCAACTTGACTGAATTTAGAATCACTGTAGAATCACACATAGGCATATATGGAATCTATGGAGGATCCATCCTGAATGTGGATAGCACCGTTCCGTGGATGAAGTCCCATTCTGAATGAAAAAGAGATATAAAGGTAGAAAGTGAACTGAGCACTATTATTTCCCTCCTCTGATCACTGATACAATGTGACCTACTGCCTCAAGCTCTTGTCACCATGCCTTCCCCACCACATTGGAGTATACTCTCAAAACCAGGAGTCAAAACAGGCCCTCCCTTAAGTTGCTTTTTGTCAGGTGTTTTGTCACAGAAACAAGAAAAATAATGAATACACCTTATTTTTTCTAGATTTTTCTTGTACAGCCTTCCACACTTTAGCATTTATCTTTCTTTGCTCTTTACTTTCTCTACTTCTTTGATATTGATAACCCAGTTCTCACTTCTTTATCATATCTCACCCTTTACGGAAGTTTCTTTCCCCTCTCCCCATAGTTCATCTTTGTTTTAAACTTTTCTTCCTTACCGATGGATTCTTCATCAGATATGTCTTCTTCTCCCTTTACAGTTGTATTTGGCTCCAATTAGGCTTTCCTTGTGTTGCCATACTATTCCTTTGTACATGACTGCACTTGGTGTTGTATGATTTGTATTTTTATCATATTTGTTATAGGATGATTCTCTATGTGTCCTAGTTACTTTCTCTTGCTGTGATAAAAAAAACACTGACCAAAACCAACTTGGGAAGGAAGCGGTTTATTTAGCTTATAATTCCCAGGTCATAATCCATCACAGAGGAAGTCTGAGCAGGAACTCAAGGTAGTCCAGGAACCTGGAGGTTGAGCTGAAGCAGAGACCATGGAAAAATATAGCTGACTGGCTTGCTTCTCTGGCCTGTGCTCAGTCTACTTTATTACACACCCAAGAACCACCTGCCCAGGAGTAACACCACCAGCAGTGGGTTGGACCCTCCTACATCACTCAGTAATCAAGAAAATATCCCATAGACATGACCACAGGCCAGTCCAGTAGGGGCTTTTCCTCAGTTTTGAGGTTCCCTCTACCTGGGTGGATCAAGTTGACAACTGAAGCTATCCATCACATTATGCCATCATCGTCCTACATTGCTCCTGTTCGTAATGCCTCATAATTCTCCCATTGCTTTCTCTTTTTCCTCTTTTCTGTTGTGCTTCATTTTGTTTGTCCCACTAATAAGACTGTATTTTTTCCCCTTACTGGATTTGAAATTTGGAATTAAACTGATTTCCTTAATTTTGATTGATTGATTGATTTATTTATTATTTTTTAGTGTCTATTAGAAGACCTAACTGTGCGTGAAGTCCTACAGAAACATTTCAATGTCAGCAAAAACCTGAGATCCTTACATATGCTGCTGGTCTGTATTTTTAATATATATTTATGTTTTACTGATACCTCAAAACAAAAAATTACATATTAATAGAATACCTTATGTTTTAATATATACTTACACATAGTGTAATGTATAATCAGGTTAAATGTGTCCTTAAATATTTATCATTTCTTTTTGCTAACAGATTTTTAAATCCATTCTTGCTTTTTTTAAATGTCCAGTGTGTTGTTATTATGTATAGTTACAGTAGAGTACACTGGCCCACCAGGGCTTCTTAATCCATTTTAACTGCACTTAATACTCATTGATCTAACTTTTCCCATGACTTATTTCTCTCCTGCCCTCCCCAGCCTTTGATTATCAACATTCTACTCTCAGCTTCTATGATACCAGCTTTTTTAGATTCCACATACGAGTAAGATCAACATGTGATACCTGTGTTTCTGTGCCTGTTTTATTTCACTTTACATAATAATGTCCAGTTCCTTCTATGTTGTTATATGAAAATGTCATTCTTTTATTGCTAATATTCCATTGAGTATATTTAATACATGTTCTATATCCATTCGTCAGTTCATAGTCCCTAAGTTTTTATTTCATGGCTGTTGGAAAGTATATGGTTGTTAACATGGTAATGCAGGTATTCATTGACAACTCATTTTGTTTTCCATTGAGTATATATCTAGTAATGGGGTTACTAGATAATTTTTTGTTTTTAAGTACCTCCAGCTGTTTTCCATAGTAGCTATACTAATTTATATTCCCACCAATAGTATATAAGAGTGCTATTTACACTTTAATGTGAAACTTTTAAATATATAGGTGCATTTTAGGAGAAATAACATATTTGCTACTCTGGGTATGCAAATATTTGAATATAGTGCACAGTTCATTTTATTTTGTTCCTGTTTACTTTCATCTATACTTTATAATTATGCAACACAGATCCAATACATATTTCGAGTATATAATACTTAAGTGTTTAATTTCTTTGGAGTAGCTGTAAATGTTATTTTGGGGCGGGGGTCTTTTTGAGACAGGGTCTCCCTGTAGCCCCAGCTGCCCTGGAACTCATTATGTAGACCAGGCTGGCCTTGAACTCACAGAGATCTGCCTGCCTCTGCCTCCCAAGTGCTGGGACTACAAGCGAAATGGTATTTTTAAATTTTAGCTTTAGCATTTGTATTGTTGATATATGGAAACGTCGATTTTTGTGTGTTGATCTTGTGTTCTGCATGCAGTCTTGCTGAACTCTCAGATTGTTTTTAATATTTTTTTTTACTATTATTTTTTTTTTTTATGTATATGAGTGTTATGCCTGCATGTAGGTAAGTGCACCTGTGTCGTGCAATGCCTGCAGAAGACAGAAGAGGCTGTCACATCCCCTGGAATTGGAGTTACAGATAGTTGTTAGCTGACATGTGGGTGCTGGGATTCGAATCCAGGTCTGCAGGAACAGCCAGTGTTCTTAACCACTGAACCATCTCTCCAGCCCCAAACTCTCGGAATTTTAAAACACAGATTTCTTGGTTGTTAACCTGAGCCTTTAAAGGCTGAGATATTCTTCCAGCACTAAAAATAGATTCTTTGGGATTTTCTGAGTGAACAGTGAGGTTATCCATAGATGGGAACAGTTTTATTTTTCCCATTCTAATCTTTTATTTTTCTTACCTTATTACCCTGGCTAGACTGTCTACCAGTGTTGACCCAGATTGGTAGAAGTGGACATCTTTCTTATTGCCAATAGAGGAGGAAAGCATTCAGTATTTTAGTATGAGATAGGATTTTAACTAGTAAGTTTTTTTAATACATGTTCATTATCAAATTCCTTCCTTATCGTCATTTGTTGAGTTTATTTTGAATGGCCTTAGATTCTTGTCAAATGTCAGATCCATTGAGATGATACCTGTGCTGGAGCATCAGTGTCAGTTTGAGCTGTCAGCTTGACATACCTGGGAAGACTAACCTCATTTGGGGAATTTCCTCTATAAACCACATAAGCCTTTTTATCCAAGTAGGTCAGTGTTGATCACAGCAATAGAAAGCTAACTGATAACAATCCTCTATACCTTTTCTTTAATTATTGACATGTTAGAGTGCACTGTTGTTTGTTTGTTTGTTTGTTTGTTTTTAATTTCTCTTCTTGGACAGAGCAGGGCATGCAAAGATGCACATGTGGAGATAAGAGGAAAATTAAAGGGAGTTGATTTTTCTCCTTCTACCATATGGGACCAGGGAGTAAACTCAGGTTGTCAGGCTTGGCAGCAAGCATCTTTACACACAAAACCATTTTGGCCCCTACATTGATTTTTGAATATCAGATCATCCTTGCATACCAGGAACAGATTCCATTTGGTCCTGATCTTTTACTATATAGTTCTGTCTTAAGCTTAAATGGTGTCAGTGTTAATCAAGAAATAATTTCTCTGAATGTTAGTACACTTCCTTGACCTATAGTATTTTGTATTAATCTAATATTTCTAGAAAATTATCTATGACCATGTCTTTTAGGGAAAAAAAAAAAAAAAAAAAAAAAAACCTTCCATGAGTTTCTGGTCATTTTCAGTAATAGTCATGATTGTGACCATTTATTGATTGAGTAGCACATCTACCAGGTAATATTTTTCCTACATAACATCTGGCCTTTCAGTATTTTTTCCCTTTATCCTTACTCGTTTTATTCTTCCCCTTGAAGAAATTGAGAGTCCTGTGAGTTAAATATCTTGTACCCAGCTGGTAGGTGGCAAAGCAGTGACTCAGCACTAGGCTCTTTTGTTAGAAGCTCATGGTGTGCTTCACTGTATTGGTTCTATGTCTTAGTTACTGATTCTTCTTCCCTATTCCTGTTTTTACTCAAGTAATGTCTTTCTCCATTTAAACTTTCTATCTCATTAATTTAACTCCCCCCTACCCATCAAAAGTATATTGTCATTTCTAACATTTTGGCTAGAATGAATCTATAGATTAAGAATTTTTAGGTTAAAAATACTTGTGTATGTGTGGATGGATGGGTGGGTAGATTCATCCATATCCCTATATCTCACTATCATGGAACAACCATCATACTGCTAGTTTTCTCTTCTGTTCTTTAATTTCGTGAAAGTAATTTTGAACTCTTTGTGAAATTGTTCACTCATCTCTTTTGATTCTCTTCTATGAAGCTCTTTCTGTATTACAGATTTTTAGTCCAGGGAAATACAGATTAATGGTCCATTTAAAGTTTATTTTTCTGTTAAGCTAGTGAATGTGGGAGGTATAGTGTTTGTGATTATAAAAGATTATTTCTGTTGGTAATGTATATGTGCTTTGGAAGAGCAATCTGTCTAGTTACATGAGGATGCATAGGACAACGTGATCTTTTAAATGCAGCCTTGTTTATAATTATAAAAATGGAAATGTAATTAGATCGATAGGAAATGAGTAACTGGGTATACACAAAGAAATATAACAGAAAATGGGTTCTGAAAACAGAATGTATTGTTTATAGAAAACATGAAAGTTATTGTGTCATCTAATACCTACAGTGTCAAAGTATAAAGTAGGATTTTAAAGATATTCATGGCTGTTTTTATATGACAAAGGGTGGAGTCTAATCAAGAGCACACTGTATTCAGCTCTACAAAATTATATTTTAAGCATAAAAGTATTGTAGATAAATTATTTTGGTCCTTTTTAGTATATTAAATATTACATGGTAAATGGACAAAGAGAGAAAAGCAAACACCTACTGTGGCCTGAATCCCATTAGTATAGAAGTGAAGTTTCCAATCTCTTGTGCTTTAAACTAAGGCCCATCTGAATTGCACATTTAACCTTGTACTGTACATTTGTGTCTGCTATGCCTGCAAAGGCTATATAACTTATATTAAACATACAAAGTACTTGAAAAAAGTGGAATAGATAAAATTGAGCTTAGTCATTAGCTTAAGGAAAACTACATGAAAAGATAATTGTATCTAAAGGTATCTGAGTTATTTGGTTTTTTTCTAACCAAAATTGCTAACTTCTTGTTGACACTTTACAAGTTAAAAATGAATGTAAAGCATAGATATTCTTTTGAGATTTGTCTCTGGGTTTTGATTAGTGCTACTTTCTGTTTCTTATTATCCTACTTTTAAATTATCCTACTTTGGGAAAGTAAATAAATATAAATATATAATAAATAAATATAAATAAATGAATTGATAGAGACAGCACCACATAAACTGAAGTACAGCATTTTAATAGACCTAAATTTGAGATTAACTTTCTCAAATCATTAATGTTTACCTTCCAGTAAGAATAAACTATACGAATTAGGAAACTTTGCTCCATAGTATCTCCAGAGTCTTTAAGCAGATTGTTTTTTTAATCCATATTTCCTTAGATGCTTGCTTTAAATCGAGTAACAGCATCACACCCGTTTATGACTTCAGCAGATCTGGTGGAGGCACAGCAGCTATGCAGCATGGATTCTAAAGCAAGTATCGTACATGGTGAGAAAGCCGCTTGTCTTTTTGTAAATTTTGGGCTTTTAAGTTTGAATTTAGATATGTTTTCCAAAATTGTAATTAGTATTGGGCCTGGTGCTTTGTATACAGAATACTTTAAGTACACAAAGCTTTTAATCAGTCCTTTACAGAGTGCGGGGGATTCGAGCCTGCGACCCCTGCGCGAGGATGACTGGGGATGAGTAAGCACGCCATTTGCCAGCCCTTGCCGCCCCCAGCACCGGGGAACAATCAGGCGCAAAGGGGAGTCTAGTCAAGCAGGAGCTCATTTATTGCAGGTGTTACAGAGCTTATAAAGGCATCTGGAAATCCCCCTCCCCCCTCAGGGTGTATCTTAAGGATGATCACGCTCTGGTCATGCACTCCTCAGCAGTGCAGAAGTATCTGTCAGACTTTCAAAACAAGTCAGGTCGCGCCCCAGTAACTTCCACTCGGACCTCTGCAAGGCGGGGCCTTTAGGTCCCCACATCTCCCCCTTTTATTTCATAAGGCTGGACTGACTTTATTTAATGGGTTACCCATCTCATAGGTGGCTCCCTGAGGAGAGATTGGCTATCTCCTTCCTCTAATCTTATGTGTTTTTGCCTGTCTTAGGTTGTGTCACCTCTGACCAAGCCTTGCCCGTCATTGGACCATGCACCTGGCCGTGTGCATGTCCTGTCTTAGGAGTGCTTGTCATGGGACATCTTACCCATCCTTGGCTAAAAATGCGTCATGATTAAGGGCAGCCACGTGGTTAATGCCAGCCTATGACGGTCTTAGTCTCTGCCTAACTCGGTTAGCCAAGTGTGGGCAACCGGAGGGGGTAAATTCCTGGGGGAGTCCGTAATCATTAGGTGGACTGTGGCAGTTCCAAGGGTCCTCTGTCGCCGAATTTCTGGTAAAGACACTTAAAGATAAGCATTATCAAGAGAAACAAAGCAAGTCATGGTGTAGGACAAGTTGAAATACTTCTGAGACCATGTACATTTTAGCCAATCAGCCAGTTGTCAAAGAGGCTGACTGGCAATGAAGCCAAGGAACTGGGTCCTTCACCTCAGATGGATATAATTTTGTCTCATGAACTATTGTCCATGGACCGTCATGCTAGTCAGT